AATACAGAAGGAATGAAGTCTGACACAGATCTGAGGATGGTCACATTAATGATGACAGATAAGATGTCTCTAATTTTTTAACAAATGCACCCCAGGTGTGTATAAAAACCCACATTGTGGATGTGTCCTCAGCTAGAGGTAAAGAAAGCTGTAACCAGAGCCAGGTACATGGGTTTTGTGATTATTGGTTGAACTTTCTCAGGTTTTTCCCTATTCACCCTCATTAAAGTGTACACATTTCACCTTTTCTGCAATGGTGGCTTCACACCTTACTGTTACTGTTCTTTATGATCAGTATGACAAAAGAGGCCAAAGGTTATAGTATAATAAATCACAGACAAATCAATGTATTCACTGTATGTAGATAAATGATTTCTACTGGAAATCAATTTTGGTTTCATAACCACCTTTTCTCTAGGCAACCTAGAATATTTATGTCTGCATGTTAGGAATCAACAAATTAATAGTTTTTGAGCTTGTCATGCCTCTAATTTACTGAGTGGTTTTATTTATTTATTGTTTTATTTATTTATTTCTGAGTCGTTCTATGTTTAGAGGTCTATGCTTTGGTTTTGTCTAGCTGAAATGTAGACAAAATCATTCTTCTCTAGAGTTACACAATTTCTGGAAATGTTAAAGCCAAGGGGTCAAGAACCAAGGTGGTTTTTACTTTGATGGAAATCGAAATGTTGCAATGTTGTCTTCTAACCTTGCCCTTCTATCCTCTGTTCATTCACCCCTGACTCTGGAACTTTTTGGACAAATTCAAGTTCAAGAGATATTGACACTTTTCAGTATCAGGTACCATGTTCAGTACTGAGAAGGCAACTGTGATCATGATGAAGATCCTCCCCTCAGGAACCTTTGGTCTTGTGGGATGACCATTCTCTATTCTGTCCTACAATTCCCCCCAGACAACTGCTCATTTATACTGGTCATGTTTCATTCATTCTTTCAGCAAATATTTGTGGAGCACATATTAAATTCTAGGCATTATACTTGGTGCCAAGCTACAGGGATGAGAAGAGATAGGCCATACCCTCAAGAAGTTTCTGGTCCCCACTTTGAATTAATTCTCCTTGAGGTATCTTCTGCCTCTGTACTTTCACAACATCTACTTCATGCCTCTTCCTAGCATTTGCATCACTACTTATAATATGTATCTTTATCTCCTTTTAAACCATGAGTACCTTGAAGGCAACAATCTCAACTTTCTCTCCTAGGTTCCTCACATCCCCTAGTGTTTAACACATTGTGGCAGGGCTCAGTAACTGTTTTTGAATGAATCAATAATTTACAAATTAATGAACCTATGGAGCCATGACCAATCTTCCTGATTTCCCATCCCACATCTCTTGGATTAGGAACTCACCAATCAGTCATCTGTTAGTACTGAAACACTCATCATGATTTCAAGGACCTTCTAAACATAAAACCAGCTGGTACACGGGTCATTTCCTCTTCCAAATATATTTGCCTTTGAGATAAAGAACAAATACTAGCTTCAGCTTGTGTTTACAATACTTTTTTACAGGAGGACAAACATGATTGTATATGATTTAAATGAAATGAACTTATAGTAAGGAAAACAAATGGGTTCACTTGAGACTCTTGGATAGATACTTTTAATATAGCTACAGAAAGAAGAAATATAATAACAATGGCTTAAACGAGCTAGAAGCATTTTCTATCTGTCATGTAAAAGTCTGGGAACAGTCTCATACAGAGGTTCTGCTCCATGAAATCATCAGCTCATGGCACCATCATTCCCTAAGATAGGGTGCCTGGGTCAAGATGGGCTCCAGCTGTCACCTAGACCTCCGATGCAGCAGAAGGAAGGAAGATGGATGAAAAGACAAAGGACAAACACAAACTCTTAAGCAGTTTCTTGGAGGCCGCCACAGGCACCTCAGCTGACATCCCACTGGTCATAAAGGAAGTTGAGGGAAGTGGTTTTTATGTCAGGTAACCACATGTCAAGCTAAAAACGATTTTAGTGTGGCATAAAAGGAGTACAGACAGGAGGGATACAATCAGATGTCTTTACTGCAGATACTGCAACTGAAGTGTTAGTGACTAAGGACTTATGTACTTTGATTCCTGCAAGCTGAAGTCACAATGAACTCCAAGTGTTAATTCACTGTGCTATGATCACAGTTGATACTGCTCTGATTGTCACTATCAATGACAGCAGGACTGAGGGAGAAGGAAAAGAAACCTTTTGCAGTAAGGAAACTGGGGGCAGTGGGAGTCTGGGAAAGGCGGCAGCAACAGCAATGGCAATAGCAATCGAAAGGGGAAGACAGGGTGGAGAAAGACGGTAGAGTCAGCGGGACAAAGTGGTTGGATATTGGAGGAAAGAAAGAGGGAGGATTTAGAATGACTTAGCTTTCAAACAAATTAGACCCTAGTAATTGGACTAAAAAGGGCAGTTTGGAGACTGCATTGGACTGGTGGAGTTAACTGCTACAAATTGACCCAAAATCTCTCCTTGATCTATTACTTCTCACCATGAATTTTCTTTTGAACGGACTAATGAAGTTAATAAACTTCTCCAAGTAGTTAATCTTTCACAGGGAAAATTTAACAGGTCTTAGTGACCTACCTTAATTAGTAATAATGTTCACTCTCCTAATTCAGTACACTACTCCGGACTCCTTAAAATTCTTAGTTCTTGAGGTATTCTTAATTCAAGTGCCAGAATTTCTCACTTGAGTAAGTTGAATATATGGAGAATCTATTCCCCCATCTAGAAAATAAAGTCGGTACTGCAGTTGTGAAATTTAAAATACACTGGATGTTTAAAGGACGTGACACAATGCCTGGTTCAATAAATGCTAGTTTTTGTCTCCTTCCAAAGTACTTTTTTTTTAATGCATTCATTCAACATTTATTCAGCACTTACTATTGCAGACATGGCTAAATGCTAGGGAACACAGCTGAATTTAGTTCTTGAAACCAAAGTTATCATTTTTTTTTTCACTTCTGAATGTTGAGATAAATTCTGATCCCCTATACCAATGTGCCTGCCTACTGGACTGGGAGTTCCTGAGGGCAGGGAACATGCATACATTTGTTACCTTTATATTCCCAGTCCTTAACTCATGTACTTATTAAATGTATGAATGAATGCATGACCAAGGTTCAAGAAATGAAGCCAAAAATCTAAATGCAGGACTGGAGTCAGAGAACTATGGTAGTTCTGGATGGATCATGGATGTTCAGACATGAGGTCATGGAGAAGTTCAGACATTATGGGAGACAATTCCATGAATGCTGAGTGTCCGTCGGGGTACTCCTTCCACATGGGGACCAGCATCTGCTAGAATGGCTATTGGAGGAGGTAGGGTTCCTAAAGGGCAAGAGGCAGCATGTGACATGGGAAATCCAGGCTGTGCTCCACCCCTAAGCTGGATGCCTCAGTGTAGGGCTGTGTCTGGCCCAGAGGAGTTCTTTTCTCCATTCACACAAAGGCCCCAGTTTGCCAAGCTACACCCTGTGGATATGAGCACCTAAAAACTGAAAGATTAGATGTTTTCCAGGCAAAGTTTGGGCCAGAGGGACCAAAAAGAGGGGGAATGGCATATGTGAGGTCTGAGAATTTTACAAAAAGCCTGGTGTACTTGAGGAACTGAAGGCATTTTGGGATGACTGGAGCATGGAGTTCAAAGAGAAGACCACCAAGAGTGAAACTGGATCACAGCTAGCATTTTCCGTGAGTTTACTAGTTACACTGTGTTAATGACCCTTCATGCATATTTATTCAGATCACAGAAAATGACTTTACCAAAGTCGTATGTTAGAAAACAGTGAAACTATGATTCAAAGCCAGGTTTAACTTCAGACCCTGTGCTCCAAACCACATGTTCCGTAGCATCCAAAGATTTGCAAAAGCAGATTGCAAAGGAATGAAACTAGAGGCAGGAAAGTCTATGAGGAAATAGTTGCAGAAATCCAGATACAAAATGCTGGCAGACTTAAGATGGCCTTGGACATAGAAAGGAGTAGATGATTTCAGAGATTTAGGAAGCACAATCCACAGGACTTGGTGGTTGTTTGAATATGAAAGGCAATGATGAGAAGAGGGAGAAGGCTGGGATGACTCCTTATTTTGTGTCTTTGTGGGTGGTACACCATTTGCTGAGATTAAAAAACAATGAAGTAGCAACCAGCAACCTTGGGAGAAAGGTGAGTTTAGAGCCTGCCAAGTTGGAAGCACCTGTCATCCAGGTGGAGATGGCCACATGACAGTTCAGTACTGGCCCTGAACCTCAGAAGAAGCTGTATAGTTACCCAACATGAACATATAATTGGCAATTGACCCAGAAAGTGGGTGATAGGGTGTAGAGAAGAACAAAGATTTCCTAGCAGAAGGACTTTTCCCTAGATCCAGCTGTTAAGCCTTATCAACATAATCTGACCTTTGATTTATAGGCATCTTCTACAAGAATCATTCCTCAAAAGTTTACAGAGTATTATAAACTGAAACCAGAAATCTATGATAAGGTACAAAAATGGGAATCTACTATAATAAAGAAAGAATTAAAAAATGGCCTTTTCTGACATTTTTGATTGATTTAAAACCAAATTTAAACTTAAATATGACTATTCTGTATTTTCTGTAAGAACATAGGTGCTGAATAAAATATCATTTATATAACAATAATGCAAGGAACTACTTCTACTAAGAAAATTCTATGCATTATTCACGCAGAAGAATGAATGAATTAAAATCCAGCAATGACATCAGTGGAGGCCTTAGCTTATCAATTACCTCTTTAAAATGTGGCCTCACAACTGAACACAGTCCTCCAATATGGGCAAGTAAAGTTTTCTGTATCTTACACAGAGTGCTATAAAAATGAGACTCTCAGTCATGCCTTACCCTCCTGTTACCCATCAGCCTCTCTAAATGGAAATTCTAAGCCATGTTAGTTGCAGTCATCATAACAAGACGGGATTTAGGCTTAGCTGAATTCATTTTATCTCTTTTCTTTTAGAAAGCCTCACAGACACCCTTTACGTGATGTGGCTTCTAAAGACCCAAGGACCACCCACCTAGTAATCTGCAAAGGCAAAGGCAGAAATGGATATTCAAACACCACAGCCTCCGTTCTGTTATTAATTACTCTGTAGACATGTGCCCATACTGTAGGGAGTGAACTGCACCAAGGGGGAAAGTTCCAGGGGCCCCCAAACCACCAGCACTCTTGTTTTCCCCCTGGAGAGAAAGCAGAACTATGGCGTTTTATAGCTGCTGTTTCATCCTTTTGGCAAGTACCTGGTGCACTTCTGCCTATGGGCCTGACCAACGAGCCCAGAAGAAAGGGGACATTATCCTCGGGGGGCTCTTTCCTATTCATTTTGGAGTAGCAGCCAAAGATCAAGATCTAAAATCAAGGCCGGAGTCTGTGGAATGTATAAGGTAAGGAAATGAGCCAAGTCAAAGACTCTCTTCTACTGTAGAAAAACTGTACCAAACCCAAAGTAATTTTTTTGAAACTTGGTTCTCTCTTTTTAAAGATGGTGATTGGTAGTCATGCTGAAATCACTCCATTCCCTTTTTAAAAGAAATTTTTCAAAAAGTAGAATGTCAAAAATATAAATCCATGGCCTGTTGGGGATATGTGTCCAGTCACTTCATAAATGAATCGTCATTATTCATCTAGCAGCAGTGTTGCTGAATGAAAGACTAAGTACCTAGATGGAAATTTATTACAGGTCTTGAAAACCTGAGTAGTAAAATCTCCCATTTACCTTAAGTGCCCCAGGTATGAAAGTCAGTAATACCTGAGTGCTGGCTGCCTCACTCTCACTTTTTATTAAAAAAGATTTTAAAGTTGAAAGAAACTTCAGTGGTTGATATGATACAGGCATCTTCAAAATGCAGACTGCAAGATTTTGGAAGTCCTTCTTATAGAAGGCTGCAATCCAGCTGCTTAACACAGAATACCCCTAACGCCAATGGAGAAAACACAGAATCTATCTAAGCGTCTCACTGAACTCTCTCTTCAGTTATTGGAAGACAGCTATCATGTCCCATCGAATCACTTCTTTTCTGTGCCTGAGTCTTGGTTTTCTGAACAATTACTTCATGACATGATTTCCAGACCCCTCACCATTTTCACTGCCCTCCATCTAATGTTCCCTAATTTATCATGACTATGATACGGCATCTAGAATTAGGCACAATTCTTTCAAACAAGATCTGACTTCTGCGGAGTAGAATGGACTGTGTATCACTTCCCTTCACAAGGGTATCAGAGACCAGGAATGCACCCCAAGTTTTTACCCAGCTTTTAAGAGAAAATACCACTTTCTCACTAAGACTTGCAATGCTCAAAAGGGATCTTGCATTTTTTCCTACTCTTCCTGTTTGCTGGAAAATGAAAATGAAAACTACAATTGCTCCAACAAAACTGGATTTCTGTTCATGTTTCTAATGAAAGCTGGAAAATTAGATAAAATTTTCACATTTTTCTCATGAATACAGAAAAACTAAGTACAGAATTTCAATTATATTGATTATATACCTCACATAACCTATGTGGACATATACCCTCTTTGTTGTGCCCTACTGGACAGAGTTTTGTGTGTGCTACATACATACTTAAGATCAAGTAAGAAACCCTGAAATACTATATTTTTTAAGTTATATTTAAGAAAGACAATAAAAGCAGTATAACTGTTTTATGTAAAGAAATAGTCTATAACCTCTCTAATTTTGCAGGTTTAAAACAAATAACTAAAAAAATAAATGATGGAAACATAAAGAAAATAACTAGGAGAAAATGTCACATTAAAAGTTAGGAACCTAAACAATACAGCGGAGTATATAGCAAATTGTATTTTTTACCACCTGTCATTGAGTTCCTGTAATCTACCACATAAAGAAAGAACCTGCGGAGTTGTTACATTTCTTCGTTTGGGCACTGATACACTGATTCCACATAAACTTCTAGCTCTTACTCTGGGCCAAATCCCGAGAGATGAAAACTATGTCACTGACCCTACTTCTCTTTGTTAAATTTGCTTGATATTTATTTAAAATAATGTTCTTTGAAAAGCAATGCACCCTTATTTTTAAAAACAGAATATATAAATAAAGGGAAAGCCACATTTTTTAAAACCATCCCTCCACCACCCAGAAATAACCAGTTTGTAAACAGCCCTTCTAGATATGTTTGTTAGTTTACAAAGATGAGACTCATCATTTCCCTTTCCCCTTTAACCTCCAATAATTTCATAACCTAAATTTGTGACCCTGCAAACCTCAAGTAATTTTTAGGCTCCAACCTATTAAAATCCTAATCTTATTTATATTTTCTCTAATCTTTCTTTAATCTGTATTATTTTTTAATACTTCACATTATCAACTTCAAATTCTTTGCTGGATGAAGCAGAAACAAATTATTCATTCTATTACTACAATCTTTGTTATCATTACTCCCTCTGTGTAAGGACTAGAGTGAGAATTTTACATAATTATCTCATGTTCACAGCCACCATATAAAAGGTAGGCACTGTCCCCATTTTACAGAGAGGTCTCGGAGTCTCAAAGAACACATCACAAAACAAAAGGGTAACAGAGCCATGCATGATTCAAGCGCAGCTTTGCCCAGTCCCTACTCTCAAGGCATTGACCAGAAAGCCTCCCATTTTCTTCCATTTCTTCTTTCTTCCAGGTACAATTTCCGCGGGTTTCGTTGGTTACAAGCAATGATATTTGCCATTGAGGAAATCAACAGCAGCCCAGCCCTTCTTCCCAACATGACACTGGGATACAGAATATTTGACACCTGCAACACCGTTTCTAAAGCCTTGGAGGCTACCCTGAGTTTTGTGGCACAGAATAAAATTGATTCTCTGAACCTTGACGAGTTCTGCAACTGCTCAGAGCACATCCCCTCTACTATTGCTGTAGTGGGAGCAACTGGCTCGGGCATCTCCACAGCGGTGGCAAACCTGCTGGGCCTCTTCTACATCCCCCAGGTACATGTAGGGCAGCAGGGTAAGCTGTGGGGCAGCAGGGTAAGCTGCCCTCAGGTGGGGCAGCAGGGTAAGCTGTCATCGGGACTCAAAGAGCTGCCATGCCCACTGTCCATACAGCTTGCTATTTTCCTACCTCTGGTTTACATTAGCACAGAAGGCCTTTTAATTAGTCAGGGCACTGTACCATGACCATTTGGGATTTCTGAGACCCTAACATCAATCATGTCAACTAAACCTTCATAACTCTTCCAAAGTTCTTTTAAAAATACCATGTATAAAACTTTGTCTTTTTTTTATCAGAGTGTTCAGTTATTTACTTTTCACTCCCTTCCTTCAGTGAATGCCCACTCTTCTGATTTTACTAAAAGGAATGAGACCATGTGATGTAAATCTCACCTTTCAAACTCAAAATATCTGTCCCTAATCCTATTCCCTTAAAAGTCTACCTCTCTATCTTCTGGTTGAGGGTTTAGCTCAGGGGGAAGAAGAGTATACTTCCTCACAGAACAGGAACTTACTCATTACCTTGCACATTCTAGAAATGGAAAATATTCTATTTCATTCAACAAATATTTATAAAACATATATGAATAAATAGTATCCACCCGCAGGAACTCAGCCTAGGTGGAGAGATGTCTGTATTTTGAAATACTAGTAAACAGTTCACTGAAACAAGTGCTATCATAAACATTTATTCAAAGTTGCATATTTTCCCCCTGTGAAGTACACCTTTTTGCATGTTAATATTCACAGATCTATGACATCATTTTATAAGAGTGAAAAATTGGAAACAACCTAAATGTCCATGGATGGGAGAATCAACTCAAATGTAACATCATTTATGACAATTTTTAAATCAAATTATAAATGATAATTGAATTTATCATTTTCAATGTCTAATATATAAAATTTGTAAGAGTACCTTTCATAAATTCACATTTATATGTTGGGAGTCTCCATTTCTTTGGTGATAGACATTATCCTTTTATATACATGTGGCAACTCAAAAAGTCTTGTCATCATTTCCCAAATCCTTACTTCAGGGAATTAAAGGTGCTTCCCATGGGGAAGCCCTGACTATAACTTTTGTGCAAAATGATCCAACAATGCCCTTATCAGTAAATGTGCTGGGCAACATGCAAATATGCATCTTATAATTTTGGCATATTGTACAGAATTTTTTTTAAATACACAAAATCAGTTCTTGTAGCCAACAAGGCATAAGATATAATCACCACCAAATAAATAAAGAACCCAAAGTAAAGGTTTAAATTCTTTGTGGCCTGGATGAAAGATGACTTTAAGCTAAATTGGAATTATTAAAGTGAAAACTATAATAATTCTCAGTCAAAACAATGTTAAGTGTATCTACAGCAGTGGTTCTCTGCTGTGACTGCATGTTGGAATCACACGGGAAGCTTTAAAAATGCTTATGCTTGGGTCTCACACCCCAGAGGTCTGGGTTTAGGTGACATGAGAAGCAGCCTGGGAGGCAGGAATTTTGAAAGCTCCCAAGGTAATCCTTCTCTGCAGTCAAGTTGGGAACCGCTTCTCTGCAGGGTGGACGCAGAGGCCCAGGGGTATTTCTTATGCCACTCATGCCACCAAGTGGATGCAATAGGCAGACCAGCTGAACAGTTGTGGTTAAAAGTTTTCTGAATCATTCATGAACTTTTCCCCTCTTACAATAAAAAAAAGTTTTGTGTGTTTTTAAGGGTTTTTTGTTCTGTTTTGTATTTTGGTGGGGAGAACAAGTAATGAACTAGTATTTTTGCCCACTTTTCTGGTTCCTTTTAAAAAACTGGACAAATATTATAAATCTTAATTTTAAGAGAAACATATCCATAGTAGATATATTTGTTTGTAATTTTAATCCTTTTAAAGTGCTTATCAATCCACTTTTCAAAAGAAGAACTAAATAATAATGGATGAATTTACAAAATGCCTGAGTAGGTTTTTCATCTGCAAATATCTGATTCCGAAGCTTGCTGTTTATGTCTGCAAGTAGAGCTCTGTAAAAACAGTAACATCTCAACAAATTACTTAACCTAACTACCCATACGTCATGAACTCTCGTAACAGCAAGAAGGAACTTACTCTGATAAAAGGAAAAAATGTCGATTTTCTATTATAACTTCCATAATCAAAGCTCTTATCAGAAAAATCATGCCCCCTTAGTAAAGATGGCCCTGGGCTGGGCAGAGGGAGAGGGTGAGTGAGAATCTTAAGCAGGTGCCATGTCCAGCACAGAGCCTGACACAGGACTCAATCTCACCACCCTGAGATCGTGACCTTAGCAGAAATCAAGCGGGACGCTCAACTGACTGAGCCACCCAGGTGCCCTGGCTCTGATCTTTCATACACCAATGTCTTTCATGTTTTTGATGTAGAAACTATTCATTGACAAGAAGGTATATATTGGGAAATTCAAGGAGGGCACATGACATGATAAGCACTGGATGTTATATGCAACTAATAAATCACTGAACACTACACCAAAAATTAATGGTGTACTAGATGTTGGCTAATTGAATTTAAATTTTTAGAAAAGATCTAAAAAAGGAAAATTCATTTTAAAACATTGAACATAGAAAACAAATTGTTTCAACTGGTAAGAATTATTAAAAGGACATTCCCCCCAATTTTTTCAACTTGGCTTCTTTTAAAACCTCTCTAGAAAACTAGAGAACAAGAGATATTAAACACTCTTTCATTACCAAAGAGAACAAATGGAGGGAGAGAGAAACTAGGCAGAATAGGAAAGAGGAGCTTCCTTGGAGCTCCTCTGAAGAGCTGTGGGTTTATAACCCACAGGGAACCTCATTCCTTCCAGAAGTGAGTCATGGACAAAGTGTTCGTCATAGTGAAGGGGAAGTTAAAACGTTTAGATCAGAACATGGATACATTATAGCCAATGAGGCAGCACAGAGGAAGTTAGGAGCAACTACAAAACAGTGTATAGAAGACTTTCCTTGATAGGATAAGTAGATTCCACTACTGCTGGGTTGACTTTATGGCCAGACCCATTTCTGAAGGTAGCTCTAAAGAAACACCCACTGGGAATTAGAATGCTCCCTGAAAGATGTTTGAGGGCTCACACTGGAGAGGAACAGATACTGGCTGTCTTCACCCTTTCATCCTATCTACCATGAACAGCATGTTTGATAAATTAAATTAATGAATGTTCAAAAAACCACCTCTGCACAGCCTCATTCACTGGTACTTCACTCACTTATATGTTCTTTCCAGGTCAGCTATGCCTCCTCCAGCAGACTCCTCAGCAACAAGAATCAGTTCAAGTCCTTCCTCCGTACCATCCCCAATGATGAACACCAGGCCACCGCCATGGCAGACATTATTGAGTATTTCCGCTGGAACTGGGTGGGCACAATTGCAGCTGATGATGACTATGGCCGGCCAGGGATTGAGAAGTTTCGAGAGGAAGCGGAGGAGAGGGACATCTGCATCGACTTCAGTGAACTCATCTCCCAGTATTCTGATGAGGAAGAGATCCAGCAAGTGGTAGAGGTGATCCAGAATTCCACAGCCAAAGTCATTGTTGTTTTCTCCAGTGGCCCAGACCTTGAACCCCTCATCAAGGAGATTGTCCGGCGTAATATCACAGGGAGGATCTGGCTGGCCAGTGAGGCCTGGGCCAGCTCTTCCTTGATAGCCATGCCTGAGTACTTCCATGTGGTTGGAGGCACTATTGGATTCGCTCTGAAGGCTGGGCAGATCCCAGGTTTCCGGGAATTCCTGCAGAAAGTCCATCCCAGAAAGTCTGTCCACAATGGTTTTGCCAAGGAGTTTTGGGAAGAAACATTTAACTGCCACCTCCAGGAAGGTGCTAAAGGGCCTTTGTCCATGGACACTTTTATGAGAGGTCATGAAGAAGGTGGTGGCAGGATAAGTAACAGTTCCACTGCCTTCCGACCTCTTTGCACAGGGGATGAGAACATCAGCAGTGTGGAGACCCCTTACATGGATTATACACACTTACGGATATCCTACAATGTCTACTTAGCGGTCTATTCCATTGCTCATGCCCTACAAGATATATACACATGCTTACCTGGAAGAGGACTCTTCACCAATGGTTCCTGTGCTGATATCAAGAAGGTGGAGGCTTGGCAGGTACATCCTTCACTCAGATAGCAGTTCACTGTGTATTAAGGCAGAGTTGGGTGGATCCAGGCAAGACAGATAAAGTGGTTTCCTCAGAAAGGCAGTATTTAAATGACATTGCTATACATAGCTTTGGATTCAAATTGCCTTTTCAAACATCTGAGCAACTGACTTCCACAAAATTAATAGTCATTTAATTTGACTATCTGTTTAAAGACTTGACTCAACTGTTCTTTAGTCCAGTAGTTCAGAATACCTAGAATATGGCCTCTAAAAGATTTTAAATATTCTGGAACAGATTTAATACTGTGTCAAGTATTTTTTAAATGCTTAAATTACAAATATTGTTCCCTTTTAGCAAGTATTTATTGAGCACCTATTATATTCCATGTACTAAGGGACATAAGACTAGTGTTACTGGGTTTAGCCACTACTTTTACCATAATATTATTCACAATATAATGTGCTGGAACACCCAGTAAGCCAACTAAGTTTAGGACGCTAGCAAATTAAGGGCATAGGGAAAAAAAATTCTTCTTAAAAAGATTTGATATTGGATATTTCAAAAAGAAACACTGAAGTGGTTATCATAGAAAATGATTAGCTGAAGGTGGAATTTCTATACTTATTTTATGGTTTAGTCTTATTTTGTATTTTTTGTTTGAATTACACATAAAGAGACATCATAATCTTTTTCATTTCATAGAAATTCTGAAGATAAAAGTTTGGCTGACTTAAATCCTACATAGCTGTTATGTCTTGCATACCTTGATTTTTCAACCAAACCTCATTTTACACTCTTTTTGTATTTTCCTCAGTTCCAGACTGACCTATCAGAGAGTGCATGATCATTAAGGGGAAGGGAAGGGGACATTCCTGAACATGAGTTGAATCACCCAGCCTCCAGCTTCAGCTCCAGCTCCCCAATCTACTAGCTGTATCATCCCTAGCAAGCCATGCTTTAAGTCAGTCTCTTCCTCTGTAAGATGGCCCTAATATTTAGCCTACTTTCCACTCAAGGTTCTTTTGAAGGTGAAATGTGATGACATATGTGAAAGCAATTTATAAATTTTCAAGCTCTAAGTGGATGGTGATTATTATAGTAGTATTATGCCTCTAATTAAGCTATCAGGTTAAATGGTAACTAAAACAACTGTGTATGTAGAAACCAACTACCAACTACCACAGACCCTTGGAAAAAGGTACCAAGAAACAAAGAATGTATAACCTATGTCAGTCATTTTAGAGCTCTCATGGGATCAGGAGTGACTCTCTAGGGTGACAGAATGAGCCAGGACTGCAAGTACTTCTTAGTCTTTCTTATATAGAGAAAATCTCACTCAGATGTCATTGTTGGCTAAACTTTGTCATCTCTATGAGGTACTTAAAAGTTTATTTCCTTACACTGCACCACCCCCTTCCTGTACTCTGGCCAAAAAAAAGAAAAGAAAAAAAAAAAAGCCAGGAGGAATTCTAATGACAGTCAAAAACAAAAAAGACTTGAGAAGCTCCACTCAAGTGTGGAGTTTTAAAAAGGAGGAATAAAGGGACAATATTTTACTAAATACTGTTGTCTTTCCTCCCTTCCCTTCCATGTCCCCTGAAAGGAAGACTCCAGTCCTTGAAAAGCCTATAGGACAAAGGTGAGGTTGAAGGGGGAAGAGGCTTCCAGTAAGTAATTTGACAGTTCTGTTCTTCAATGGCTCCTCTCCAAACAAGGAAGTAAGATCCAGATGGTTAAAATCAAAGCTTAGGCATATGTGAAAAAAAAAAAAAAACTGTAAGAAGGAGGCTATAGTCAAGAGTTTTAGTTCCATACAGTAGAAAACCCAAACCAAATTGGCTTAATCAGAAGAAACTCATATTATTAGAGGCTCATAATACTGAAAACTGGAGAAGTATTCCAGATACAAGTAGATGTTTTCATCTCTATCTATGTTCCTTATTCCCCATGGTTAGCAGTTTTCAGTCTCTACAGTAGCTTCAGGCTCATAAAGTCTTTACTGTTAGGCTCTTACTTCCCAAGATCTCTTGTAAAATTCCCAGAATTTCCCACGTTGATTGAACAGTCCAGGATCACACATCCATCCCTGAAGCTAGGAGTGGAATCCTTTCAAATTATATGAACAGAGTAAGAGGGGGAGTGGATCCCCAAGGGGAAATCAGGATGCTGTTACCAAAAGGAAGGAAAAAAGAGAGGCGAAGTAGGCAAAATAAAGAGCCATCACACAGACACCTTGGCCAACAGGTTAAGTACAGGTTAAGATGTGCACTCCTGGATCACACATAGCCTGGCACAATTCATCCAGCAGAGAAGACAGATAGGAAAATAGGGGCACAGCTCTAGGGAGGAATAATGTGGTCATTGGCCAAAACGTCCATGTACTTGCTGTAAGTCTCCTTTAAGCCTTGGGAACCCACGCAGTTGGTGGGCATTCTGGAATTTAAGATATTGGCCATGTCTGTATCTATCAAGAGATGGACTCACAATTATTCACTCTCATTATGAAGACCTACATAAAAACCTATCACCTGATCAGCATACGTAATCTCATCCAAAGATCCACCCCCATCTCTCTCAATTCTCTTATAAGCCAACCAGCCTGACACATCCCCACAAAAGCATCTATGAGGTTTTGTTATAGCATTTTTGCTTAGATCATATCCCACACCTGAAGGCCATCAATTTTTGTTTCCTGTATCCACTGTCCACCACAAACTTTTAACCCTTTTTCAAAACTTTCTCCTAGAAGTCTTTGCAAGTCATACTCCCACACACACTCTTTATGGCCACTCCTTCTTCCTCATTTTTGCCATTTATATACTCAACTTAAGCTTCTATAACTCTTCAGTTGACTGAAATAAATTCTTATTAATTAAATTTCTCATTAAACTGGGTCAATCACAAGTTTTTTCTTTTGTTGATCTTTGCTCTCCCTAAAATTTGTCAATCAATTCATATGCCTTAAAGTATCACTAACAGATAATTTATGAACATACAATATACAATTCCCTCCTGACCTCCTTGGAGACGCCAAGCCCTTCTCCACTGCTCCTCTCTCTCTTCACTCTGACTCCTCTAATGTACTGCTCAGAACTATGGCCAGAACACCTGACACCTGAATATGTGTAGAATAAATGAAAGAAAGAACAGAAATCTAGTTAATTTGGCCTTGCAGAAAACTGTTCAATCCAACAACCCATCCTTGAATCAATCACTCTAATCCAAGTACTCTAGACTCTGATTGGATAAGCCTGTGTGACATTGCCCAACAATCAAATTTGTATGGAACATTATGTAAGGAAATATGGAACCACCTTCTTCTTTATCTCAGGATGATTGTACATAAGGCATACTTTTCCCCCACCTTAAACCAACCGTTCACTAGTAAAAAAATAGGTATGCATAATGACAGAACCACGGTGATAACAGAAGTCAAATGGAATTGATCATTCCAGGAATTGCTAGTACTATTGGGATTTGGAGAGGGGGGTGAATTTTAACCAGAAAAGATGGGGGTATATAAGGAAATATGGTTGAGAGTAGAGAAGGGAACTGGTCCTGGATCTTCCCAACACTCTTAGTACAAGAAGTGGGCAAGAAACAATAGTCTCTTTATCTGTGTAAACCATCCCCCATTCACCCCTGTGTGAATGGGGTGCTTTGTACCATCCCATCCCATTTTCCCTCTGTGCTCTGATGCCAAGTGTAAGAGCTGGAATCCTAGATGACAGTGGGGGGTTTCTAGTCTCTAGTCTTTGGTTTAGTTCAATTAAACATTAGAGTATGTGCCAAGAGGTGGTTCCCATTTATGCTTATAATGAGCAAGTTTGACTTTAAAATCCTTGAGAGGAAATACCCTAAAAGGCCACAAGATGGAAATAGTACCACATAAAAGACAGTATATGACCATCTCAGTGTTTACACGTTGTACTTTGTCCTTTTCGCAGTGTTTAGTTTTATGAGCCCATCAATTTCGTCTGTATATTATCTTCTATGTTTAAGTCTTCCCACTAACTGTTTTCCTTTCTCTTCCCCTACATTTATTCTTATTTTCCTCATATTTCTCCCCAAATAAAATAATTTAGAAGCATACTATACTCGATTATAATCTCAAGTAAAATTTTATATTTTCTTTTTTAATGGAATTATTAGTCCTTTCTTTTAAAATTCCAGAAGAAGAGTGCTCTGAGGGAAATACCTAAATTATTTTGTAATGTATATTCTCTTTTGTGGGTCAATGAATATCACTTTAAATATCCCCTATATTGCTTTTAAGGGTGAAACAGTTTCCATCTCAATCTTCCCTATTATGCACAGGTATTAATGTAGAAAATTAGGTGTTCAAAGGCAAAACTTGAAAGTCAACATGTTAAAAGAAACATTAAAGATGTCTAAAAAGATGACTTAGACATATGACTTAGAAAACAAATAATTGACTCTTAATGGACAAGGTACCAATTTTGACTAGAAAAATTCAGTACTCTTGATTTTATTTATACACCACCTATGAGGATGAAACTACAATACCATGCTGGTTAGGATTTGAAATAAGGACAAAAACAAAAGATATCATCTGAGATAGGCCTTGAAGGATGGGCCGGATTTTTGGAAAGGGTCTATTCCTTGGAGAAAATGTCAAATTCAAAGGCAAATGTACAACCACATAGGTAAATCTCCAAAACATCATGTTGAGTGAAAAAATCCAGACTTAAAAAGGAGTCATACTCTTTTTATTACTATACTTATATGATATCCTTTCTCTAACAATAGAAAAAAAGAACCACTTTCTCTAATGATAGAAAGAAAACAGATCCACAGTGGCCTAGGGCTCCAAGTGGGGGTGGGGACTAACTCGGAAGCGACATCCGGGAAACTTTGGGGATGATAGCAGTGGTGGTTATACAGGCGTATTTACCAAAACCCAGAACTCTACTTTTAAAATAGGCATATTTTATCCTATGTAAACTATACTTCAATATAGTTCATTAAAAATATAAAACAATGA